CGCTGCCAACCAGTAAGGGTTCAGAGAGAACCTGCCGGCCTGTCCTGAGAGGGACCTTCACTGGACAGGTGAGGAAAGAGAAAACGAGTTCCCTAACTAGTCCCATGAACACACTTGAGTTGAAAAGTGCTGTGTGTCAGTTCCTGCCGTTGTGGGATCTGTGGAGAGAAAAGACTCCAAGCTTAGACAGTATTTACGAGAGCAGCATTAGAGTTCTCGGGAAGAACTTTAATGCCTCTCACAGCGACTTGTAATGTCATTTGACCTGACGCAAACCTAGAGCACCCATTGTAACCCATGCTTTCTTCTCTGTGAGTTTAGAATCGGGGAAGAGCTGGGTAAGCGGTGGTGCAAGACAGAATCCAGCCCAGAGGGGACTGCCCAGTGGAGGCTGCAGTGAGAGTAGAGGAGGGTGGTTTGGACACGATCCACATCAAGTAGCAAAAGTGGAAAAGGGAGTCCTTGCAAGGGCCCTAACCACTGTGCTGATGACTTCTGCACTGAGCTTTCTCAAACACCCCCACCAGAGTCTCAGGATTTGTAAATCCCAGCAAAGCGAGATACTGACAATATGATCACATCAAGATGTAACCTGTAATTGCAAAGTCACTTTTGATTAGATCACTAGCACTCTGGTGACCCAAGGATATGACATGATTAGGTCTGAAGCCAGCCCGTGGACTCCCACAATGATTGTGTGATTAGACAGGCTGACTCATGGGCACAGCAGGTCAAGGGCATCTGCAAGTCTGAGACTGTCTGCAGCTGGGCAGAGGTAGGGCTCATTTTCCTTACATGGGAGAACCATGATAATTCCAAAAGATTAGACTGCTCATTAGAAAAGGGAAAGGGGCCCTTCTATTAAAAATCTTTCTGGCATTACAGTGTGGTAAGGGAACGACGGTGGAGTTTCTGACACCCCTTTTCCCGCGGTTGTCTGAAGGTTGTGTGAATTAACCTCCAGCAGTTTGGGGGAGGCAGCACACTGGCTGCTTCTTTCCCTTAACTGCCTCGTGGGCTAAGGCAGGTGAGTGCGCTAAGCCTTAGTTTTCTCACCTGTAAACTAGGGATTCCAATATTCCCCTCTTATTGGTTGTAGGAGGATTCAATGCCATGCGTAGTGCCTGGCAAAAACAAGATCTTCTTTAAGCACTTGATTCCATGGCTACCAAGTAATTTTAAGGACAAATGTAAATGCAATTAAATAACCATTCACACCTGTGCATGAGAACCTGGTCCCCTCCCCCATCCCTAAACTGCCTTATCTCATGGAAGTCAGAAAAAACCCATAATTGACAAAATCAAAGCAGGTCATAACTGAACTCATCACACCACGCGCAATAATTACACAGCTGAGAGGCCAATGCAATTGTGCCAACATTAGGGAAAGCTGGGTGGCCAAGGTCAGCCTGCAGAGTGGGTGGGCACTTGCCCCAGACAGCGGCTTCATGGATGGGCTTCCCTCTTAAGTTCTATTTAGGCAATTTTAGTACCACTATGAAGAACGGTGCTAAGCAAAAAGAACTGGGTTCTTAAGTAGAGTTCCCCAAACTTGTCTGTTGAATTAACTAGAGCTCTTACTGAAAACACACAGGTGTCCGATAGGCCCCCAGCTCGTGCTTATTAAGAACAGGGCTAGGAAATGCCCTCCTGGGCTCGTGTTTCACAAGCCAGTTTGGCTCCTGCCGTTGCCCATGAGCGCGGGTATGCTACACGGTCATTTCCATTCAAACGCTCATTTTCAGCTGTTCCTCATTCCTGCAAAGCCTCTGGTGGATCTCTATGAATAAAAATACGGGCACAAGGGTGATCCCTCTGCCCAAGTCCCCCACTCAGTCCCTGCCCAGCTGGTCTGGAGATCCACCCAGAGGTCACTTCAGAGACACACGAGGCTCGCCTACTGTCTGCAGAGGGAACCCGTGGAAAATACACGGGAATATATGCGTGACGCGGAGCCAGTGCTCAATGCTGTGTTCGAACCGGGGCCACCTCGTTCTGACCGACTCACTTATAACAGAAGTTCTCAAAGTCGGTCGCCAGCCCCAGGCCCATCTGAGAACCTGTTAGACAAGAAAACTTCCAGACTCACCGAATGAGAAATTCCAGGAGTGGGCCCGGCCATCCGTCCTAACGCGCTCTCCAGGTGACTGATCTAAAGTTTGAGAACCACTGACGTCTGTTTCCCACTCCCAGTGAGCTAGTTGGGTCTCTCAAGCATTTCCCGAGACTCGTCTGTATATAGTGAGAGGAAGGAAAAAACCCACCCAGCTCCTTTTCACGTGACGGACATTCCTGAAAAGTTGTCTTGAAGTGAAGACATCAGAACGAGATGATGGGAACCTGTTCAGTAGGAAAGAAAGGCCGTACGTCGTGTAACTGCTTTGTGTATGAATTTCCGTAAGGCGCAGTCCCCTTGTCCAGTCATTTCTTTACACAGGCTGGGGCCTAATCACTGTAATGGCTCTTCGAGGCACAACTGCCGCGTAGCTTGTTTCCACATACATAATGCGATTTGATTTAGCAGCTCAAACTATGAACAGTCAGCCTCTCAGGACCCCCGTCCAAGGGGTGAGCAGAATGTTTTATACCTAATGCTCATTTATAGCAAATCTTCCATTCTTCTGCTACGTATCTGTAAATATGCTCTTACATGTACATGCTCTACATTTACAAGTGTATATACTCAGTGAGGGTATTAGATGCAGGTACAAATACATTCCCTAGGGAGAGAAATGAAGGTTGTATATAAGCGGGCTTTCAACGGAGTTCATTATATAGTCACACAAATACATAAAGGAAAATCACATCGTACAATATACTCTAATAATCCTCACATTGGTTTATAAAACCCAACAGAACATACTTAAATGAGCAGGAACTGAAAGTGCATGACAGACGCGTCCCTCAGAGCATTCAAATCTCTTCCACTTGATTAAAAATTCCTAGTTCCTCTTCACTGAATTGTTTGGAGTTTTTGAGCAGCCTCTGCCCTGATTAAAACAAATTAGCATCAAAGATCCCCTGTTGAATGAGAAATCATTAATTGAGAAACATGCAATGCTCCTTAATTACCTTTAGAACAGCGAGAGAACAAATAATCTCAGGTTCCACAGGGGCTGCCTGCTCTGCACTGTGGACTCATCGCGCGGAGCTGCTGGAAGGAAACTCGAGCTGCAAACACTATTAGGGACCATCAGTGCAAGCTCCAGTAAACACACTGTAGATTGTTTATCTAAAAGAAAAGTGTCTCCGTGGTGACTAACGGAGAGAGAGAACTGTTCTTATTTTGTTGAGAGCTTTAAAAATGTCTTACCTATGCCAATATTGAGCGGAATGAACGGGAGCTGTTTTCTCATACATATTTTAATGCTTTGTGTAGAAAACTTCATTTATGTAATTACCTGCTAAAATTTCAGAGGCTTAGGTACAGATGAGTAACTTGGATCATTTAACAGTGGGGCAGAAACCACCAAAGTGTTGAACTTCACAAAACCCAGCTACAGATGGAAATTCCAACGATGAGGCGGCACCTTCCTTAGGCGTTCATTTCTTTATATGTTGTGACTACAGTTACGGGAGCTTCTGCAGGTCGGTGAGGCATGATGCAGCCCTCTGCCTTCGAAATCTAGAAAATACTGAACAGGAGTATCTTTAGGAAACGAAATTGTTGTAGGTGCTTCGACAATTTATTTGGCCGTTGCCCTTACAGAAGGCCGATTCCTTTAACGGCCAACACCGACGGCAGTTCTGCGCCGGAGGTCAAATCGGAGCGGTCCCCCAGATTTCAGGAGTGGGCGCTGGGCACTCAGCTTCTTCCCTCTTCTGACTAGCTCATCCGCACGCCGGGGCCCGGGAGCTCGTACCCTTTCTCTCCCGGGGTAACGAGCTCCGAGGGAACCGGTGCTGACTCTCAGCAGGGAACAGTCTCGGTAAGTAGAATGTTCTGTTTGCCATTATCTATCTGTGTTGCAAGGTAATTCATTTTGCGTTGAGATCCAATTGTTTTAAGCTGAGCTAGTATTTTTATTGGTGTCCTTCCAGCCGGCCTTCCTTTTAAGTGCCGTCGTATTTCAGACAAGCTGATCTAAAGGAAAAGATCAGTGCTGCCAACGTGCATTGTCACAAGGGACCGAAGACGTGCGAGACCTGTCTTGGGTTACGCATTTGTTTTTAAAGCGCGGATGCAGGAATGAGAGCGCTAGCCTGCTGCTGGGGAGCTGAGCTGACCCGTCGAGGAGGGGCCGGGGCTGATGCATGACGGGAGAGGAAAAAATCCAACACGGTTTGTTAGTATTTGCTGCAAAATTACCACTTAAAGTTGAGGAAGGGACTATCTGAAGTATGTAACCGACGTAAAAATCCTGAAAAGCACAGCGCGGGGAACACATGTCATTGGTTTCTGTTGCAACTGAATTATTTGGGAACTTAGCGTTACCCCAAAAATTTCAAGGGAAAAATCGGTGCTTGTAATTCCCTGAATTGAACCTTGAACCTTTTCAAGGTAAAAGGAGAAGACATTTAACTCTGATCCGTTTCCCACTGCGACAACAGAAACTCATCACAACACGGGTGAGATAGGTGGTCGTTTTTATCCCTGTTCACCTAAAAATGCTTTAGACGACTGGCCCAAGGCGTTAGAGAAAGTTGGCCTTTGAGTTCACGTTGAAACCCGAGTGTGTCCCCGGACAGGACCCCGTCTAAGGAGCCCAGCAGTCGGCCGGGGGCCGGGCCTCTCGGGTGCAGTGTTTCCTCCTCTCGGGGACACGCAGGGCGCTCGGGGCGCTGTCCCGAGTCGTGTCGGAAAAGCCAACAGAAGTCGGGGGCACAGGAAAGAGGGAAAATGTATTTTGAATGTGGAATTCAGTAACAAATTTTACAACCAAGCCTTAGAAGGTGGGGTGAGGCTTTTTCAAGGGTTGAGTGCTTTTTTTCCTGTATGCCCTTGAAAGGGAAAAAAAAAAAAAAAATAACAACAACAAAACTGCATTTGGCAGTGGGGATTGGGAGGTCCAATGTTTTTATTTCAGTAATTAAACTGATGAGTAGCACACGACATCATAAAATGTTCACTTTTTAGAGCAGATCTGAACTTTTACACAGTCCGTTTTAACACTGACATGCACGCCTGTATACATATACACTGATATGGTTCTAATTCTTGATTTAAAAAAATTAGAGAAAACTAAAATGTTAAATGTACACTATAATGAAGACACCACTGTAACACCAACCAGATGGCTTATAGTCCTTTGAAAAATACTTAAAGCCTTTTGAATTAGAGTGATCATTCATTACTTAAAGAAATTCTAACTGTTGAGGAAAGCAGCTCTTTGGCCCAGGGCAGTTTCCCTAATTTGCCTCATGGTAAGAATCTGAGGTGCTTATTAAGCATATTAATCTCCAGGGTCCAGTCCAGTCCTTCCGCATCTTAATCTCTAGAGAAAAGGTAGGAATCTGCAGCGACCCAGGCTGTTCTTATGATCAAGTTCCACGCCCGCCTAGTGAAATGGGAAATGGACTTTGGAAGTTAATCTTTTAAAAAAGTGTATGTGGGTAGAATTGATTCATTTGATCAGTTTTAATTTTTAAAACCCTTTATATAAACTACTTTTCAAATCATACTTTTATGTCCAATGGAAAAAAAAAAGATATACCATGTATGACAACCCAGTGTAAGGATTGATCTGTTTTTGCCCAATTTGAAAGTGAAAGTGGCAATTGATGTTTCTGTCTAAATATCATCAAGTAGTAATTATAAAAAATACTCTGCACTAAAACAGCATATAATTTTAAAGACTCAAATCCTCTCTTGACCCAAATATCAAAGTAGTTCTTGAGAAACTTCTATATCCCAGAAATAGAGGAACTTAAGATTTTCATGAAATCTTCATTTGCAAAAACCTGCCTGGCTTTCCCCTATGGTGACAAGATGGGTGAAAAGTGAAGAGATGGGTCCTTAAAACAATGGGTAGAAAAAGAGTGGCCTGGTGGCCCCATGATTGCTAACAGCAGCTGCGCTGCATTGCTGTGGGAGCTTTATGTTTGCTTCCTTCTAGGCTCCCAACAGTTCTGCCAAGTGGGCACCACCACCTCCCCTCACAGGTGAAAAGTCTGAGGCTTCGAGGGTTCAAACTCGCCCAGCAGCACACAGCTCAAAGCTGGTTCCAACCTCTGTTCTCAGGCCCATCCGCCAGCCTGCACCCTGAGTGACCCTGCAGTGGGACAACCACCGCATAGTCGCACTGTCTTACTGGGACCAAAGAAAATGAGATGTTGGGAAGTACCGTGAGTATCGATTACATTGAAATACATCCCGTTTCAAGTTTTCCTAGTGAACATAATACATTAGTATATGGCACACATTTTCCTTCTATGTGTATCCCTAGGATAAATTTCCATTGAAAAGCAGTTACAAGAATCCCAATCCTCTTAATATTTACTAGATCAATCTGTAAACTTGTGCAATCTTTCAATAAGCATTCTCTAGTTGTGTCCAAATAGTGTCCCCAGGTTAATTTTTAAAATTCCATTCTATTTAACCCAAAATTTTCATACATGGAAGAATGATAAATCCTAAAGAATTTTTCAAAGTCATTCTAAACTGCTACACACAGAATTCCGTTAGGATAAATTTTCAAGAGAATCAGTCATTTACTTGCTAACTTCTTGAAGAGTTTCTACATACTTGTGCTTTGGTTAAAAAAAAAACCAAAACACCAAAGCATACAAAATTAAAATTGTTGCGACGTGGGGGGGAAAAAAATAACACAACACATTCAAAGTGATTATCCCTAAGGTCTTTTCAATCCACTGCACCCGAGGGTGAAGAATTTTATTGCCAGTAAAAAGCTTTGATAAGTTGAGAAAACATTGCATAATTAGTCACGAAGTTAGCAGTATTTGGCCCAGGAAGGTACAGTATGCCTTTAACATTGCATTGCGTCCCATAATTCTCTAAAACTCAAATTTCAAGTTTTAAGAACCTGATGGGATTCGAGGTGGAGGAAGCTTGACAATTCTTTCACAGTAATACTGTTTGCTTAGACTCTAAAAATAAAGCTGAAATAGATTTTGCATACAACTTTGTATGTTTTTGTTACTTAAGCTTTCTCTCTTGACAATCGTTAGAGAATTACACAAATTGGGCAATCATTTTATTTTTAAGTGATTACATTTTTTGTAATCACCAGTTTTGTCGGTTTATTTTTCCAGGAGAAAAACTAACATTTAAAGGGTCCAAAAAGAAGCCAATAAAATTGTTTGATTGTTTTTAGGGGACATTTACAAACTCGGTTCACTTTTTTTTTTTTAAGAGAAAATATCACAGGGAGATAAAAACCAGCTCTACTCCCTCCCCTCAAAAAAACAAAAAACAAAAACCCAAAACCAAAAATACCCCCCACAGGCCATAGATAAAAATTACTGTAAGAATTAATCTCATTCTTAGCATGGGAAATAGCAAAATATCATGCCAACATAAGGAATATATACTATAACTCATAAATGCCTAATTATTAAAATAAGGACATAGTCATGGTTAGATGCAACCTAACAATCTTATATACGATGCAACTACATAGTGTATGATCATTCCTGATATATATTACATTCGACCCTCATCAAATTAAGCTGACTATGTATAAATGGCATTATAAAATCAACATTTTTTTAATCACAACAGTGTCGTGTCCCACTACCGCACAACCAGAGCATGCAAGTAACTATGCATTAGCTGTAAACAGTAAAGTGTCGTCACCTTCCAGAAATCCAAAGGCCGTGAGAAGTACATACGTAGTTCTAAACATCAATGACATTTCAGTGACTTTCAGATGGAACAAAACTAGATCGTATAAAGCAGCTTTGGGTACCTCTCAGCGTTCCCCACAAATACCTTGTAGTCACCCTGAAGTTAGCGACCTATCATTCCCAACAAGATCTGTAATGCTACCGAGTTCTCCTGAACCATGGTGAAGTTTAGGACACAAATGATCCTATGTTCCAATGTGCAAGCTGTTTTACATCACTTTTCCTTTGGGCCATAGTTCAGAGTTTTGAGTCATTGAGAACAGGCTGAAGAGGGGCAATAACCAATTAATTTTCACACTGGAGACTTTCTCTCATGACACTGATGAGTTCGTGTTGGAATAAGAATTCTGTAGGTGCTCGCCAGCTCCGCGCTTCTTGCTTGTGTTCTCAGAGAGAGAGTTGGCAGGAGGGAACCTGGGCCATAGTATAAGTCAGGGGGTGCCGCTCTAAAATACTTTTCATCACATTTGTAAAGGTAGATAAAATCTAGCAGCTAGGAGATGGTCAAAAGAAGATGATTAGTTCTAAAAATGCAGATGGATCATGTTGGTCTGAGCCAATGGTTCCTTGGCAATTAAAAAATGACCACGTTCAAGGGGAAGCTGGCGCGCTGTAAAATCATTGTTGTAGCTCTTTCCGGATTCGTGGTATTGGAGGCCGCGCTGGGAAGGATGGCAAACGGATTGCTGGACGGGCTTTCCCATGCTCCATCTGCTTCGACAATGAGTTAGGCAGTTGGCATGGGCGAGGGGAAGGCCCTCTTCACTCAGGATTCTGATAAACCTGTGGAGCTGCACCTGCCATCCACCCAAATGGACTCATTTGGGTCTGCATTCCAGTTAGGTGGAAAATAGTCACATTCTCAAACTGACTTGGGTATGATACCGTCATGTGAGATATTTAAAGACATCGCCTACGCCCTACTAAACCAAAATCTTGCATTTACAGGTACAGTGAGAGAAAACAGCATTTAAAGCCATTGCAATCTGTTCATTTCCTGTTCATATACAAGTGATTTAAGTTTGCTTAGGAGGCAAAAACTGTACAGTTCTCATCATTCAGTCATTACAAAATGTCTTTCTTTAATGTCTTGGGATATAAACAGTTGGGTTTATACGAATTACATATTTTTCATCTGCATTAAGAAACAATATACATCTTTTTCCAGAGTAATTTAAAGTTTATCTAGGATAAGCCTAGGAGAGTCGAAAAAACTGACTTTATCACCCATGACCTTCAATACTGTTACTTCTAGAAAACTCATGAACATTCTTTGGCCACTTGGGTCACTGCCCACTTGGAGGGAACTGTACTTGGGTCCTGGGAACACACAGAGTTTTGCCTCCACAAAACTCGAGGCCACAGACCAGCCTTAACGGAAGCCACACACAAGGTGAAACAGCACAAAGGATCCAGGAGGGCTCCCCGTTTCTCAGACACAAGTTCCTTGGCGCGTTGAGAGGTGGTGCTTTCGGTTTCGGGCTCCTGACGTCTTGTCTTTACTATCCGAAGGCTTCTGCTGTGAAATATCTACTAGGGCACTGGCGATCGCAAGGCCTGGAAGACAAAGAACAAGGCCCTTAAATGTTTGGTTAGATCTTTCTAGGATGGCGACAGTGGTGGCGTACCCCTTAGCTTCACTGCTTTACAATCAGTCATCAAACACTTAGCTGTTGGAAGTTATCGAGTAGGTCACCCGTTACTTACAGAGTTTCTTAACTGGGTCATTTGAACCTAACACAGAGAAAGCAAGGATCTAACAAAGTGAACTGGCTCTGACTTCAGACAATCAAATTCGGTGCATTATACAATATCACAGCCAGTCGTGGATGTGCCCCACAGCCTGGTTTCTGTGTCTCAACACAGGCTTGCTCTGGGCATAAAAGGACTTTCCAGTGTTACTATTGGTTTTCTTCCGTGTGGAACAAAGGTCACCGCACTAAAACTTCTTTTAAAAATTTTAGGGTAGTTTTAGGTTTATAAAAAATTAAACCAATATTGATACATGATTATCAACTAAAGTCCATAGTTTACATCAGGGTCCACACTTTGCGTTGAATAGCTCTATGGGTTTTGACAAATGCATAATGCCGCACATTCACCATGATAGTGTCATACAGAACAGTTTCTCTGCCCTAACAATCCCCCGCACTTTATCAATATATTCCTCCCCTTCTCCTGGGCCTCTGGTAGTCACTGATTTTTAAAAAAATATCTCTAGAGTTTTGCCTTTTCCAGAATGTCAGATCAGCGAAATAGTAAAATATAAGCCTTGTCAGACTGTCCTATTTCAGTTAGACGTAAGCCTTTAAGTTCCATCGTATCTTTTTTTTTGGCTCAATTGCTCATTTCTTTTTATCGCTGAATAATAATCCATTGTATAGATGGACCACCGTTTGTTTAGGTTTGTTTATCCATTGAAGGGCATCATGATTGCTCCCCTTTTTTTTGCCAATTATGAATAAAGCTGCCATAAACATCCATGTGCAAGTTTTTGTGTGAACAGTTTTTAATTCACAAATGCCTAGGCTCATGATCCTCAAGGCAAATGGTAAGCCTGTTTCAGTTTTGAAAGAAACCACCAAACTGTCTTTCCAAAGTGGGTGCCATTTTGCATTCCCACCAGCAACGGATGCTGCGCCACATCTCTGTCAGCATTTGGTGGTGTCAGTGTCTTGGATTTTAGCCATTCTAAAAGGTATGCAGCTGTTTCATGGTGCTTTTAATTATTAATTCCCTAGTAACATTATGTTGAGCATCTTTTCATATGCTTTTTTGTTATATGCATATCTTCTTTGGTGAGGTACCTGCCATTTTTAATGGCGCTATTTGTTTTCTTATTGTTGTTTTAAGAAATTTCTTCTAAATTTTGGATGCCAGTCCTTTACCAGATATGTGTTTTGTAGATATTTTCTCCCAGTCTGCAGCTTATCTTTTCATTTTCTTAAACTGGTTTTAAGAAGAAGAAAGCAAGCATCCCAGGGATAAAGTTGTGCTATGCACAAGTTGGACATGGAAGAAAGATAACCTGTAGAAATTCAGCTATTATCTTAAATATAAGAAAATGACCTTGAGTATTATCAGTAGAATATCAAACACCAAAGGGACCCATAGCTCTCATGGGCAATAAAAAAATACTGTTGAGTTACATAGCGTTGTCCATTGATGGACAGGAACATTTGGTAAGATGTTCAGGGATAGTAAAGAATTTCCTAAATTTGTAAAAGCAGTGGCTCAAGCAGATACTCTGGTTCATCATAGCTACATGCGAATCATTTTAGTTTCTGTTGAGTCCCCTATAATTCTTGAGTAAAACAAAATGTACCAAATCAACACACTAAACTGAGAGGTCAGACTGTCTTCTGCAAGGTCTTGGGGGCTTAACTCCAGATTGAGCTGAACCAACCTGAGACCTCACAGGCACCTCAATGTGCTGCCGTCAGAAGGCCTCACTTTTGGACCTTATTCTATGTAACGTGCCATTAAATTCTTTTATTCCTGTGGGTCAATTTATTCTAAGCTGGTGTATAGGGAAATTGGCAGGGCCAAGTGAAATATATGCGGATGTATACAATTATCTGAGTACATGTATTTTTTTAGAGGAAAAAGGGAGCCTCAAGTGCATTTGAAAACAGAAGGGAAGGTATTTATGGAGACGGAGAAATTGATGGTGTTAGAGGGAAGGGATTAAAAAAATCACAGCTATCACCGGCTTAGCTAACAATCTTCCATATTTACCTTTCAAGGGTTGCTGTTAAATAATGTACTCTTTCAGGATATTACATATGATCCTGAATTTCTCAGAGACAGGGCAAGGTCAAAGGGTCAAAGTTTAAATAAAAATCGCTTTCTTGACCTTTGAAAAGCACATACGAACTTGAATGTCCAACACAGGTGTTTCAACCACTTATTCTGCTACAGGAAATACTTGGTTATTTCGTTAAGGGAGGGAGCTGAAGCACATCATTTAAGAGAAAACGACTGACCGTGGCTGTGCTAACCCAAAGTTCTGTTCAGACAGGCCCCCCAGTTCCCACAGATCTGCCAGCATGCTCCCGCCGTAATTTACTATCTCCTGTTATTCCACCCCTGGCACCGTCTTATCCAGAGGCAGCCAAAGATGACAAACACCATGTGTGTACCTCCCTTAATGTGGACAGAGACCACTTACACTCATTTCAACGATCGCGGCTCCAAACATGAGCTCACGTTACTCCTTAAGCTGTTGCGTGGCCTAGTCCGAAGGAGCCTGGAAAACACACACTTTCCCATTTACACGTGGCTGTGGGTTTCCCCTGCAGAAAATACACGCCGGCCGAGAAGTAAACAGCTGGGCTCGCCAAGCAGGAAATTTTATGCGAATCTGAGACTGTCACTGTCTTTGTATTTCGGGGTATCTGAAGTCCAAAGCCTAATTGAAGTAGCGTCTCTCACAACATAGCCTGGGTTTATTAATGCTTTGTAAGCTTGGAAACACAGTCAGTTGAAAATTATAAACCATAAACCATACTCCAGTTCTTAATTTACAACTAGAATTGCAAATCATGCTTATTTTTAATTTGACAGCTTTTTGTCCCTTCCTGTGAAAATGGAAAGTCAACTGCATTTCAGATTCGGCATGAATGGCGATGGGAGTGTAGGAAACCTTCTATCCCTCCCCCCGTGCCAGCTGAGGGCCCACCAGGTGACTTGCAGAGGGTGCTCAGAGCGCCACTTGCCCAATTTTCATTCAGATTTAAGCATGTGTATTTTACTGCACCACACAGCTTGTGGCATACCATGAGTTATTCTGCTTTATAGATCCTGTAAGTTGATTAACAAGTAACACAATAATTGTAACAGCTGTGTGTGTGTGTGTGTGTGTGTGTGTGTACCTGTCAGATTGTTGGGCACAAGATTTTATTACTGTGCTTGCATCTCTTCATATTTTAATATTTGCAGAACTTTAAACAACTACCACCCTGAAATTGCTAGGTCTTTGTTCAACCTATAAGAGGGCCTGGACATGAGAGTAAACACAAGAGATAAGGTCCCTGTCTTCCTGAATTGCCTAGTGTGTGGAAGACTCATTAAAAAAGAAAGAAAAATTAAAGTAATTTCTATCATTTCCCTTCAGCATACTTTATTGTAGGGAATCTCATTTTCTTAATTGATAAAAAGAAAAGCCAAGTCAGTGGCTCTTTCAAAAAGACAATATTACCTCCCCTTCTGCCGCAATGTAATATTGATATGCTGGTGATAGACTGAATATCCAAATAGGCAATGGCCAGACCATGTGTAAAAACAGAACCCTGGCCCACAGCTGCAGCAACCTGCCCTGGAAGCCAGCCCCTTATCTTCAATAACCAGCACAGGACGCCGACCTGCCATGTCAGACTTGTAGGAAGTCAGACTGCCATCTCTACTAACAATTGCGAAGTCAAATTATTAGCCCCGTAGCCATGGGCCCCGAATACCCAGGACTTGGTTAAGAGCTGACAGCTTCTGTAATTTTTGTCCCTGCTTCTACCTTAGGACCAATCAGAGAAAAGAAAATCCACACCTCTAACAACCACACAGGATGCTCTGCTTCTAATTAGCCTGCCTCCTGCTTCCCCAGGCCAACAGCCTCAGTCAGGCCCACTCGAAGCCGCCCCCTTTCCATTCTAAAGGGTGCCCACGCAGTCGCCTCTCGGATCTCTGCCAAAACACAAGCAAGCTGGGGTGCTGGTNAACACAAGCAAGCTGGGGCGCCGGTTCCCTTGCTATGTATAGCAAGTTCTGAACAAATAGCCTTTACTTGTTACTTGGTTTATTTTCACACTGGTGATGAAGAGCTAAACATAGCTTGAGATCTTTCCTAGATTTAAAAAAATATGAGTCAATTAATTCAAAGCAACTCAGAAATAAGTTCCCTGTATTGCCCTTTGAGGCAAATGCTTTCTCCTGGTTTAGCTGTCCCAGGGAACTGTTTCTGGGTGAGCAGTTATCTGGTGACGACCCCACGGTCCCCGCACTGTAGAAGGAAGTCCCTCTTTCCTCCCCATAGGATGCTGGGCAGTGGCTCCCACTGGCGCCCTTGGAGTCCCATTAAAATCAGGTCACTCCAGAGGACCATTTTTCAAAACGTCACACAAATCATCTGATGAAATCCACTTACTGTGTTCTCTGGGCCTAGCATAGTTCTTGTTATCAAAGCAATACAATTAACTGGGGGAGCAATTCATTATTTCAGGCCGGTGGTCTAAAGGAATTTCATCTACCATGTCAAGATGATGCACAGACGCCGCGGGCGAGCAGGATCTATATCCAAGCCTGCGGTAGATTCAATAAAAATGCTGGGGGTTGAAATATTTATTGTAAGTTTTACCTTTTTGCTCTCGTAGTTCTTAAATACCAGACACTATGGCATCTAGATTATTGAAATACGAATTATAAACCTCATAGGAAAGGAAGTACCATCTTCTGTTTCCTGTTCCATTTTCCATGGTCCCTTGGGGTTCACACTGGTGTCTGCTCATGTGGAGCCCCACGGGGGGCTGCTCGGGGTCACCCAGGACAGGGCCAGCCTGGAAGGA